GAGAGAAGGTGTTAAGAGAACTAGAAGCATACCCCCACGTGTTGCTGTGGGAATTATAGATTAGTGGATTGCATGGTATGATGACATGGACAACAAAATACTTACATGTCTTGCTGGTGTGGACATTACAGTTGTATGTGTTAGTAGATTTTAATTATATGTGATAGTGCATTGCCTAGTTAGTCTGCTTGCATAGCTAGTGGGGTTTTGTTTAGTGGATTTTAATTGTATGTGATAGTGTATTGTCTAGTTGAATAACTTGTATGTTGAGATAAATATGTTTTGCTTTATAAGAGTATAAGATAAAATAAGAAAATCACTTTCCTTGCTCCACATAGGAACAACCGAATAGAACATGCAAATGGGTGTATTTTGCTTTGTTTGTTTATTTGCGGGTCCCACATGCACATAGGCTTATAGCTGGATCTAACCTTTTTATATACATTTGTGCTAAAAATTTCTGTCTTATGTAATGGCAAGAGAAAATCTTAGTGCCTTGGCAGATTGTACATGCCCATCATGTCTCGCGATAGTATATACTAGTCCATCACGCGCGTCATCGCGCGCGCCGGCAAATCAGCTGGTTAAGGCGCATGAAAAAAAATAAATTTAATATTTGGACATAAACAATATTAGTAGTGTAATGTAGATACGTCATGCACAAAAACTTGAAGATTGGAGCTCTTTCTATATTTAATACGGTAAGACTATTCAAAAATGAAGAGTGATCTATAGTTGGATCAGTAGAACGACAGTACTGTATCTCGGTGATGTAAGAATCAATCTAAAATCTTTAGCTTTGGTGTCAACATATTTCGCCCAACATGCATAGTTTTCTAAGGTTTTCTACTTTGTATTTTGGAATCAATAAATAGCAGACATATCTGACCTTGCAGAGTTTGGTGTTCCATTGCACGCAGGGGCGATAAACGCGTGGTTACATATATGTTCGGGAGGTACAGGATTATAGAATGATTCTGTTATAATGTAACTTCTGAGTTGACTCAATTCATATAGCTCAGGCTATAGAACAATATGATGATGCAAACCTGAAACATAACATGCAACAAACAGAATCACCTTGTAAAACCATTTTGGGTACTGAACAAATTACAGTGATGCTAAGCAGGGAGCTCAATGGAGAGCCAAATACTAGCCTCTAAATGTTTACTGTGTTTCTCATAAATCATGGTCGATCATGTAGATGCTAATCATGTTAGTAGTAAAAAAACAAAAATGATGGCAGGCTACCGCTTAAACCATGGCAACGTTTAATCATGAAATTGGTAAGCATGCCTATCAGTATAATGCAAAGTAATATCGACGTTGGAAATCCAGGTTTTCTTTGTTGTAAACCACATATTTATATATTGTATCACCTGAAATACACATTACATATAAATTAATAAAGGAAACTAAATTTAGGTAAATCAGCGTTACTGAATGAATAGCAAGCAATGAATTAGTGGCAGCGCATGATGCCTAAGAAATAAAGGATAATGTCACACGGCAGCACAACAGAGAAAGCTAGAGCAGTGCTCGAGCAAGGAAAAAAAAAGAAGGCAATCTTTGTGCAGCCGAATGTTGGGTACGTAGAAAATTAGCAAAACAAAAGCGCTAGCATTCGTGACTAAAATACAATACTAATCGCAGCAGAATAGGCTGCACAGTTTGTGCCTGGCCATAGGAAGGATCGAGGCCATATCTTATTTGTCGGAGCATGTAACGCACCGAATTGCTGGAACAAGGAAATCTAGAATGAGCGTATATACACGGCAGTCTAAAATATTCCATTTTTATTCAATGGGAATGGCATAATATAGTTTGCTTCATTGGACCAGTAGGTCTGTATAGAGTCTTGACGCAACTATATAAAGTAGAACTATATTGAAAAAGCAGCGGACATATTTGCTGGTTTAATTGAACGTAAAATGAGACTGTGGACATATAATGAGATGTAAAAAAACAAAGAATTCTATAATCAGTAATATGGAGTTATCAGCAACCATGATATTTCATACAAAACAAATTACCATTATGGTTGACGAGCTGACTCTAATAAATTATCGCAAAATGATGATTTCTCTTAATCATAATTTACACACACTGTAAGTGTACACATTTTTAGGCATCATCTGCAGCACTGTTGCACACAGTTACAAGCTGCAGCAAGAAGTATCTGAAAAGACTAAATGGATTAAATCGGATGGAGGAGAGATACCGGATAAATGGAGACGCACGCAACCTGCCTTGATCACACATATTTGACATGGTACATTGTATAAGGAAAATCAACAACAAATGGTGGGTGTCCAGCCGAACCTGTGAGCAAATGAGTAGTAGAGTGATCAGGCCACAACAGTTGGTCTATACGATCACACCAACGATACAAAGAAATTGCAAATCCCTTAACTCCACGCAATAATGCTGTGGAGCATTCAGCCGACACAAAAGTGGAAAATTAAATAAAGCATGGCAGAAACAACAATCTTACAACCCAGGTGTTAACAAAACCCTACAAAGGTAACCTAGCAAAATGGGAAAAATTGCAATCGGGAGGATCTTTGGAGGAGGAATATTTTGCTAAAAGCGGTTAACCTGAACCTGTAAACATTTTGATAGCATGACTGCATGAGTAGCAGCAGAGGGAGTTTAGTGTAGCAAAGTAGATTACATCATAATCATACTTATGCAGTATGAATGGGTAGGAAAAGGTAAATGCATTGAATGGGGCACCGCCTGGGGCCAACCGTGTATGAACAAATCAAAGTATTAAGTTTCATAGGGCTTTGTTCTATCATCAGAATCGAACACATACATGATATGAAGGCCATTATTTTTGTAAGCTAAGAAATAGTTGTTGTAATAGAAAGATATGTAACCTCTGAATCAAACACATACATGTCGAAGGAGCTGCATCCCGGCCACCTGCGGGGGGCAGCGGGGGCCAGCTCGCGGACGCGCGCCACCGTGCCGGCCGCGCACCGGCCATCGGTGGAGGCCGCGCTGGATCCAGCTGCTCGTCGCAGATCCACCGCCTCCGTTGGCTGCGCGAGGTGGACACCGTGCTCCAACCTTAGATCGGCCGGCGGGAGGGGCCCCGCGAGCAGCCGGTCCAGATCCACCGCGGAGGTTGGTGACGTGGCCTCCCCGTCGTCATGCAGGGGCAGCACGGGGTTCCTCCACCGCCAAAGGCCTCCGGCGCCTCATGGCCTCCGTTGGCTGGCGGCGCGGCCGTGGGGACGACCGGCGACGGAAGGGCGAAACCCTAGTCCGCGCGACCAGCCGCGTTGCGTCGCGAGGAGGAAGTGGCGCGGTGGTGGCGGTGGTGGAGGAGGAGAAGGAGGAGGGAGGTCGCCGCCGCGCGGAGGGTGGGCCACCGCCAAGGCCGTCCCACGCCGTCGCCTGAGCCGCGCCGCGAGCCGGGAGCGAGGAGGCGAGAGAGAGAGAGAGAGCGAGAGAGCGGAGAGGAGGAGGGCGTCGGGGTCGGGGAGATCCGCCGAGGGCTTCGTAGAGGACGGGCGCGTACTATAGCGAATGGAGGAGGCAACACGGGCCGTCGATCGGAGAATCGGATGGCCAGGGGGCTTTCGGCCGATGTGGCCACCCTGGTTGGCGGCCAAAGCTCGCCGGCTTAATGATAGTAAATTCCTAAACACGTAGCGGTTATGTTGCGAGCAGTGTGACTCTCTTATAAACATTATTTTAATATCTTTATCAGTGCAAAAATGCACAAGGTCTCATGCATATTTTGAAAAAAAACATACTTAAATAGTACGGTTGAGGTGTTCTTTTCGTTTATGTTCGTTTATTTGACCCATGTTAGTCTGATTGGCATCGGTAGTTCCATCACCTAAAAGCTTGAAACACTCTTGTATGGAAAATCGCTTCTAGTCACCATCAAATAGTGGAGCTTAAGCTGTTCTCGCGTACGCTTAAGAGCTCCGTAGCCAAATGCTTGTGGAGAAGTTATACCAAACATGATGTAAGTATGGCCACAACTTCTTCTTGTACCGGTCTTAGTGAGAGTTTCACGTGAGTTTTATTTGTATTTAATAGACTATTATATAGATATTTTTTATGACAAGACAACATTTTTAAGAAGAGAGAGAATAAGCGTGGTGAAACTATTTTTCTATAATTACCAATCTGTATGACCCATAAAATTAGATGTCAATAAAACTATAGAATGAAACTTTTTATTAAGATTGAGTGCTTTATCTATATTTTATTTTATTATTATTATTATTATTATTATATATATATATAATAAATATAATATATATATATATATATATATATATATATATATATATATATATATATATATAACAACACAACGAAATTCCTCAGTGAGACTGAGGTTAACCCGTTCAACGTCTGCAGCAAGCTGTAGCGACGGCGCCCGCAAGATAGGATTCTTCTCTTGTAAAAACTGTGTCTTATATATATATTAGTCTATATATATACACTATAAAGGAAAGGGAGGAAGCGAATTATAGTTAAATTAATGGTCTAAAATCACTAGTAACAGCAGTCAGCCAAGTGTGGCGGTGATGATTGCGATGACAATGATTAGCCCATAGCCAGCCAGTTTAGTTTTGTTGACCGCCACGTCACCGTCGTCGTCTCCCTCGCGTCCGTCCGTCCGTCCATTGGATGATTTGCTACCCCAGCCCGTCCGTACTCTACTACGCATCTTCCTCCCTCATCCATCCACTCTTCGCTTCATCGATCCCCACTGCCGTGCTGTGCTGTGCTGTGCTGCGTAGCGTAGTCTTATCCGAGGGAGGGGACAGGGGAGGGAGTCGAGGGAGGCGGCGCGTGAAAGGGAGAGACCGAGGGGGAGGCGGCGAGAGCGAGAACCGAGAAGGCACCGCCGACGGCGAGACCTAGGATGCAGACAAAGCCAAATCCACGTCGATGGAGCCAAGCCCGATGGCCGTTCGCGTTGGCGGCCCACCCACGAGGCCGACGCGGAGCCGGAGGCGGAGCTGCGTATGCCCATCGTCGCCATCTACCTTCGCCTCCTTATATCCCCCTCCGGCTCCGATCCTTCTACCTCCATCGATCTCCCCACCATGGACGCCAACGCCAATGCCCTCGGCATGGACGCCATCACCAACGAAACCGTCGACCTGGTTCGTTTCCACCTCGCACACCTCTATTCCATTTCCATTCCTTCAATTCGTTTTTTCAAAGCTCAAATTTGATTTGCTACTGATGGCGATGATGACTGCCAAAGCCATTCGCCATTCCCATTCCTTTAATTTGCTTTTCAAAGCTCAAATTTACTTCCGATGCGATGATGACTGCTAATGCCATTCGCCGTCACAGGAGCATATCCCTGTGGAGGAGGTCTTCGAGCACCTCAAATGCACCCGCGACGGCCTCACCTCCGCCGCTGCCCAGGAGAGGATCGACGCCTTTGGCTACAACAAGCTGGAAGAGAAGCAGGTGCCTAGCTGCTCTGCTAACATGACATCGCATCCGTCTAGCTAGTCTTATCCCTTTCTTTTTTTTTGCCCCCTTCTTTCGTTCACTTGTACTGACACCACCGCCGACCAACTAATCAGTAATCACTAATTCACCATGTAGGAAAGCAAAGTGCTCAAGTTCCTGGGCTTCATGTGGAACCCCCTTTCCTGGGTCATGGAGGCGGCAGCCATAATGGCTATCGCCCTTGCTCATGGCGGGACAACCTTTAGGGGAAAGGTAATCATCCATCCCATACGTTCATTCCCCAGACACAGACAATTCACCGTCCCTCTTTCCCCACTCTACATCCTAAGTAATTATCTATATCTATATCTTCATGCAGCCAATGGGCATAGACTACCATGACTTTGTCGGAATTATGTTACTGCTCATTATCAATTCCACCATTAGCTTCATAGAGGAAAACAATGCCGGCAATGCTGCTGCTGCGCTTATGGCCCGCCTCGCACCAAAATCCAAGGTAAGCCCCACACCCTACTTACCACTCTTTTTCTTCTCAATACTGCTTTTCATCATGTTACACTCCTTTTCTAGGTTTTGCGTGATGGAACCTGGAGTGAAATGGACGCGTCTTTGTTGGTGCCCGGTGACATAATCAGCATTAAACTTGGAGACATCATTCCAGCAGACGCCCGTCTTCTCGAGGGAGATCCTCTGAAAATTGATCAGGTCTTTCTTGTGTCTCAGCAATAGTGTTCTTGGGAGAGGAAAAAAAGAACAATTCTGATATGAAACACTAAAATGCATAAGGGATTATACTTTGCAGTCTGCACTTACGGGAGAATCGCTACCTGTAACCAAGCAACCTGGTGACGGGATCTACTCTGGTTCAACCTGTAAGCAAGGTGAAATAGAAGCAGTTGTTATTGCCACTGGAATACATACTTTCTTTGGAAAAGCAGCTCATCTCGTCGAGTCAACTACTCATGTTGGCCACTTTCAGAAGGTCAGTATTCAGCAACCAGTGTCTCTTTTCTTATTCTATATCTTATTTCTATTGACATCTCGATAGCTTATATTTTCACCTGATCTACCTAGTTCAGTTCTATTTTGTGTTTGATGTCTTAGTTTTTCCCTGTATCATTGAGGTAGTTCACTACATTGTGTAATTTATTATCTTGTTGCTGAATCTGTGATCTTGGTTTCGTTTCATGGATGCCTTTTAGGTTCTCACATCAATCGGAAACTTCTGTATTTGCTCAATTGCTGCTGGAATGACTATTGAGTTAATCGTGATGTACGCTATTCATGAAAGAGAATACCGCCAGATTGTTGATAACCTCCTAGTGCTTCTTATTGGAGGAATTCCAATTGCCATGCCCACGGTTCTTTCTGTCACTATGGCTATTGGATCACACAAACTAGCGCAGCAGGTTCTGTCAGAATTCTCTGGTGAAAGAGTTTAACTGGGTACCTATGTTCTTTGGTTTAACTTTGCCCCCGTTTTGGTTGTCTGCAGGGTGCTATTACCAAGAGGATGACTGCCATAGAAGAAATGGCTGGAATGGATGTCCTTTGTAGCGACAAAACAGGAACTCTGACACTCAACAAACTAAATGTTGACAAGAATTTAATTGAGGTAAAAACATATGATTCTTTTACTGTTGAAGATAGCTGGCGATTATTTCTATTCTTTTGCCCATGTATTTACATATCACCAGTTTCAAGCTTACTCCCTCCATGTCCCTAAAGAAAGTCGCTTTGGACATCGACACGGTCTCCAAAAAATAACTTTGACCACTACTTTTTGCTATAAAATATATATTAGAATATAGTCAATATATACTTTTATAAAACTTTCGAGTCGCGGTCTCCTCGCATTGCACAGGCGAGGGTAAGGCTTGCCACTAACACCCTTCCCCAGACCCCGCACAGAGCGGGAGCTTTCTGCACTGGGTACGCCCCCCTTTTTTATACTTTTATAAAACTACATTTCGAGATGAATCTACTTACATCACTTTCACATTTTTAAACTCAACCTAAAAGAATTTATTTGTAGTCAAAGTTTAAAATATTTGACTTAAGACAACCTTAAAACGACTTTCTTTAGGAACATGGAGGGAGTATTACTTCTCACTCGTTCATGCATTTACCACCTGCATAGCTCTCATCTTCAAATGTGCTCTTTTCATTTTCCCCCTCATTTCTGTAGTGACTAGTCAGTTAAATACATAAAACATCTTCATGCAGTTTCATCTCTGAAATGGTTCCTATTACGCTGTGTGCGGTAAACCAATCCTATCTTCTTTAGTTGCTATTGTACCATGACTATGAGCATAGTAGCAATTATTCACTTTCATCCATGCTAGTATTAATGACACTCATTGCTAAAGCATGTAACATCTCCATAGGTTTTTGCTAGAGGCATGGAGAAGGATGACATTGTCTTAATGGCCGCAAGAGCTTCTAGACTAGAGAATCAAGATGCTATTGATTTTGCTATTGTTTCGATGTTGCCAGATCCGAAAGAGGTAAGAATCATCCTTTTGTATTTGTTTTATTTTTGTACCTGTTCAGATGATAGCTGGCTGTTTGCTTCGCTTCAATTAGGAAGGAGGTAAACACTCGAGTCCTAACATATATAGGTTCACAAAATGATTCCATATCATTTCAGTAGTTTCTCTACAACTGGTCCAAAATTTACTTGTTTTAGACACCATCACATTAGTACTTTAATACAGTCTCGAATGCACATCTTGACCATTAATTTATTCAAGTATATCTATAAAAAGCACAAGTACTTTTATGTTTGTTAATGATCAAAGTTTGAAACTTTGACTGCACACATTCTTGGACAATATATCTGTACGTTCTATTAACTTATTATTGCCTTGCTAATTAGGATCTAGCAGCTTTCAACTGATAACACATGATTTCACAGCTGGGGGTAGTATCAGTTATGCAGAAAGCGCGCCTATCTCAATTTTTATCTCAATTTTACGGTTCACAGAACTTGCCCGCTCATGAGTTTCACCCAACGAGCTTATTGGCATCTTTTGCTTCTTCTTAATTTAATTTACATCTCTATTTTATTTTCTCCTGTCTGCTGCTAGGCACGTGCCAGCATTCAAGAAGTTCATTTCCTCCCATTCAATCCAACTGACAAGAGAACAGCACTCACATACTTAGACGCTGGGGGTAAAATGCACAGGGTTAGCAAAGGCGCTCCTGAACAGGTATATACATTGCATAGTTCGATCCCTTTATAAAATGCTACCTGAAATAAAGTGCAGAAGACATATAGTATGGAGACTATTTGAAAAGCACAGTAGCCAAATATGGTAATATCTATAGTAAAGCTTCAATATATGTTGAGATGAATTGTGCATGAATCTTATTTGGTGCATTTTATCTTCTTGGGCTACTATTGCCATAGCAAAAGCAAATGAATTACTTATTGCACATTCTTAATGTATATGTGGAGGCCACCCACCTAGGCTTGAACCTGGGCAGTTCATGTGGGTATGTGCCTAAAGGGTTTGTGACTCCCTCTCTTAAGATAAAGCTATGGGATGTCTTCTCCCTGTGGTCATTTTTTTGGTTTATGTGTATCAGCTGAATTGATGACTTCTCAGTACTAGTTTGGTGTGTATTTTGTTTGCCTCTATAATCTAATTTTGCATCTTTTCAACTAAAGTCAAGTTTATTTGTGCTCCTTAATTCAGCTCTTTTTGGTATTTGCTTCGTTGAAATGAATAAAAGTGAGCAATATACATGACTAAATGCAGTCACATCATTGGTACTCTAGTGTACTTAAATTTCATCAAATATTCAAATGCTCTTGCAGATCCTGAATCTAGCATCGAACAAGTCTGAGATTGAAAGGAAGGTCCATCATGCTATTGGCAATTATGCAGAGAGAGGGCTACGATCGCTTGCTGTTGCCTATCAGGTGGTAAACAACTAGTATACTATGGCATGCTTGTCCATACACAAAGCAAAACCTTACTAAATTTCTTCGTTGTAAAGGAAGTACCTGAAGGGACTAAGGAAAGTCCTGGTGGGCCTTGGCAATTTATTGGTCTTCTCCCACTCTTTGATCCTCCTCGCCATGACAGTGCTGAAACTATACGCAGAGCTCTTGACCTTGGAGTCAGTGTAAAAATGATTACAGGTGCCTCTTTTTACGCACTATTTAATATCTGCTAAATGGCAAGGAGTTGCTTAATTTATAGAGTTAGAACTGATGCGCATATCCACTTGGACTCGCTATCCTCAGTAGCTGGGAGCAGTTAATTAGAATTCTTTACTGTAATTGACCTAAAGTGGTAATTAGCATATTAAACTATCAGCTAGAGATTGCCATCTTTTTGCTTCATTTCCTCATATCATTATGAATGTGCCCTTTCAAATCCTTTTCAGGTGATCAGTTGGCTATAGCTAAAGAGACTGGCCGGAGACTAGGAATGGGCACAAACATGTATCCTTCTTCATCATTGCTGGGTGACAAAAAAGAAGGTGACATTGCAGTTCTACCAGTGGATGAGTTGATTGAACAAGCGGATGGGTTTGCTGGAGTTTTCCCAGGTGACAATTAACTATCTATTTGTATCATGGTGTTTCTTGCTCTAACTTGTTTCGTTTCACAGAGCACAAATATGAGATTGTGCAGAGGTTGCAAGCCAGAAAGCACATATGTGGGATGACTGGAGATGGAGTTAATGATGCACCTGCTCTGAAGATAGCAGATATTGGTATTGCTGTGGCTGATGCTACTGATGCTGCTCGAGGTGCTTCTGATATAGTTCTGACGGAACCTGGATTGAGTGTGATCATCAGTGCTGTACTAACCAGTCGGGCAATTTTCCAAAGAATGAAAAATTATACTGTAAGTTAAAGTTTACAGTGCACACATTTCATTATGCTTTGCTATGATGATGTGCTATATGGGGAGCTGGACCATTGGTACACAATCTAATTCAATTTTCTTGTTATTTTTGGGTTGATCTCTATTTATGATCTGTATTTCTTGTTAGTAAAGTGAAACATGTACAATAAATTTAATTTGAATTTTCCAATGTAGAAATGTAGAACTAATATTTTTTGAACGTAAAAATTTAGAACTAGTATCGCTATTTGCTACCGCCTGATCCCCATCTGTTTGGGCCATAAGACTGAAGAGTGTTACCTATGTGTTGCAGAAAATAAATTCACTATTTAGTTTTTGTTGTGCACTATCTCTAGTATTTTCAATCCATGTCCCCTGAATCCAGAAGTTTCACCCAGCAGACACTGAATCCTGATTCCTGAAAACCTGTCATGGATTGAAGGTTAAGGGGCATTGTGAATTGCTTACTTAGTCTCGGTATCATTATTTGTTAGTGACGATTTAGTCTCTTTCCAGCACTATCAAGGACATCAGACTGATGTTTACTTCTCGAAGAGATCCTTTTTCTTCTCATATTGTTCAGAAAGCTATTTCAGTCTAGTAAAAAGGGGTGCTGACTGATGCATATGCTCTTTTCTTTGGCAGATATATGCTGTATCTATAACCATACGTATTGTGGTAAGTTTGTTCCACTAACCCTAGACACAACCTACTGTCCTCTGCTGTTCGTCTGTTTTACCTAGTTAGTCTAGATTAGGACATGGAAGTACATGGTCATGTTTGTATGGGCACACAAGCTTTTTAGCCAATCCCTTGAGCAAAGAAGATGAGCCAAAAGCGTCATTTATCTTGTGTACATGGAACTGTGCCCGTTATCTTTTCAGCTGAAGTGTATGTAGTGGTTTGTTTTACCTTACGTATCCAAATCTTGTGTGTACAGCTTGGCTTTTTGCTCTTGGCATGCTTTTGGAAGTTTGACTTCCCTCCGATGCTGGTTCTTGTGATAGCTATTCTTAATGATGGTAAGAATACTCTGATTACTGCATTCCCAACAGATTATTGCTGATTTGGCTATCGCTTCTTTAACCGCGACACTGCCTGCCTCAGGAACCATTATGACTATATCCAAAGACAAGGTGAGGCCATCTCCCCATCCAGACAGTTGGAAGCTAGCGGAGATATTTGCAACTGGAGTGATCATTGGGGCGTATTTGGCTGTAACCACGGTGCTGTTCTTTTGGGCAATTTACAAGACGGATTTTTTTGTGGTAAGTGCCAAAGTGGTGGGGTGGGATGGATCCACGATAATTTACAGCTGTTGTAAGGCGTGTGATGTTTTGCATATGTCATTTGCAGAGGGTTTTCCACGTTAGAAGTCTGAAAAGGATCGAAAAAACAGGAGACAACCAGAATCAATTTGCCGACAACATGGAGATGTTGGCCTCTGCAGTGTACCTTCAAGTGAGCACCATTAGCCAGGCGTTGATATTTGTGACGAGGTCGAGGGGCTGGTCCTTCATGGAGAGGCCTGGCCTGCTGCTGATGGGCGCATTCGTGATAGCGCAGCTGGTGAGTACTTCTCGTGGTTTGGTTTGCTTATATCCGTGATTTTTTGAGGAGTGTCGATCACCCTCGACGTACTTACTCCTGGATGGCTGCAAGTATATATGTATGTGTAGTAGTAGTATTAATTAATTATATAAGTGGGCAATGCAATTGCAATGCAAATACTAGTATATAAATGGATTGGATACGCATGCAGATCGCGTCTGTGCTGGCGGCCAAGGTGAGCTGGGAGCTTGCGGGCATCAAAGGCATCGGGTGGGGGTGGACCGGCGTGATCTGGCTGTACAACATCGTGGTGTACCTGCTGCTGGACCCTATCAAGTTCGCGGTGCGGTACGGGCTGAGCGGCAAGGCCTGGAACCTGGTGATCGACCACAAGGTGGCCTTCACGAACCGCAAGGACTTCGGCAAGGAGGCCCGGGTGGCGGCGTGGGCGCACCAGCAGCGCACGCTGCATGGGCTGGAGAGCGCCGGGGCCGGCCGGGAGAAAGCGGCGTCGGTGGAGCTGGGGCAGATGGCGGAGGACGCCCGGCGGCGCGCGGAGCTCACCAGGCTGCGGGAGCTGCACACCCTCAAGGGCAAGGTGGAATCGGTGGTGAAGCTCAAAGGGCTGGACCTGGAGGACATCAACAACCAGCACTACACGGTGTGAGATCAGTCCGGCGGTGCAGTGCCCGATGCCAATGGGATTCATGATTTGTCATAGCCTCGTAGGATATAATTTGTTGCAGTAACAATAATATAAAATGATCCAGTCGTCTTTGCCCTTGTATTGGTTTATTTACTATAATTCCTTTTCTCATCGCAATACACTACGGATGCGTGTAATTAATAAGTGAAGAATGAGCTACAGACATGCATGCAGCGAAAGTGGGAGTTAACCCGTCTGTCGGTCTGTGCGCGCGCGCAATTTTGCTTTTTCTTTTCTTTTTCCTTATCTTTCTTCCTTTTTGATTTGATGGCACTGGATTCTTTTTAGAGTGAGAGTAGAGTACTACTCTAATCTTGTGATGACTGGTATGATAACTATATATTGTACTAGCATGCAGCCAGTAGTACTGATCTGTATGTAATGTAATCTGTTGTTGTTGACCATCAGAAGCAGGTGCAGTCGTACTGTACAGTGTACAAGTACTGGTAGTACAAGCTAAGCTAGTGATGCTGACCAACTCGTGGGTACTCTCGTACTGTACTGTAGTGGATGAATAGTCAGTGACTTCCCATTGCCAGTAGAGTAGAGGTACGGAGTGGTAGGTTATGCTTGAGAGTTGCAGTTTTTTTTAAGTTAAGACCTCGTTTAGTTCCTCTCTAAAAGTTTACATCCTGTATCGTTGAATGTTTAGAGTATTAAATATAGACTAAAAAAATAACTAATAATTATATAGTTTGTGAGTAATTTATGAGATGAATCTTTTAAGCCTACAGTAACACGTTTGCTAATGACGGATTAATTAGGCTTAATAAATTCGTTTCGCGTGATGGATTCTGTAATTTGTTTTTTTATTAGTATCCGAACACCCCATGCGATGCCACCATGTGACATCCGATGTAACATCTTAAAACTTTACGTCCTGAATTTAAACAAGCCCTAAGGTAATAAGAAGCTGCAGGCCCGTCTGCACTCTGGAGTTATACACTTAACACACTGGTAGTTCGATTCGCTGAAATTTAACTTATGCTAAAATATCGTGAGAGAAAAACGTTATTCCTTCTACCCGCGCAGAACCGGGTGCACGCGCACACACTAGTACTATACAGCACGGTCGTTTTTTTTTTGGAAACGGTAATTTCATTCAAAGCTTAATAAATACAAGATACAGCACAGTCGTTTGGTTGGTAGTCTCTGCTGTGCTGAGTCACTCTCTCTCTCTCTCTCCTCTCACAGTCACAGTGGATAAGGAAGGAAAGACGCTTGTGCCCAGTGGATGGATGGATGGACCACCGAGGGCATTGCATAATACTAATGGCATTGGCATGGCCGTGACGGTGACGGGACGCCAAGGGAAGGAGACGTCCAGACGAGACGGGACGGCACGGCAGCCCAACCAATTCCGTCTCTGTCTCTGTCTCTGTCTCTGTCTCTGTCTCTCCGTGTGTGGATTTTCGCCGTCGCCGTCCCGTTCCCGTTCCGTGCCTGTGGTGCGGGTGCTCTCCCGCGAGAGGGGGAGCCCCAGAGCCAGCCAGCTCTCCTCCTCTACCGGTCTGCGGTCTCCCCTCCCCTCTCCTCCTCGGCGGGGTGAACAGGCAGGTCGGCCACGCCAGTCGCCAGATCTACCAACCTCCCTCTTCCAGGCAGAGGCAGAGGCAGAGGCGCAGGAGGCAGCGCCGCGCCGGATGCGCCATGCGGATGCGGGTGCTTCCGGCGTCCTGGTCATCCTCCTCCGCCAAACATAGCAGCGGCAGCTCCGACTCGCAGGAGCACCCTTCACCCTCCTCTACTACGACCGCGGTGTACCTCAACATCTACGACATCTCCCCCCTCAACCACTACCTCTACTGGTTCGGACTCGGCATCTTCCACTCCGGGATCGAAGGTATCTACAACTCCTATATATACACTAATCATTCCATAACATATATGAGCTGACATAATAATTTTTTTATGAGTATAAGAAAGAAATTCAGTTCACTACCCGACACCCACAGTCTTCTTTCCCTTCCACGACAAGACTCTCAACTCTACCGTATTACTAGTAGGCCGGCCCATTTACTTCCTTGTACCCCGGATGGATTAGCCATGCTATGCTGGCTACTTCCTTACCTCTTATTACTGTGCTCCCTCGGTCCCAAATAAATCAATTCTTAGAATCCGTGCAAATCACACTATATTAAGTTAGACTAACTTTACATGAAAGAGTAACAACGTGTACGACATAAAATGAGCATATTATGAAAATATATTTTATGGTATATTCTAATGTTACTAATTTGATGTTATAAATCTTCACGGTTTTTTCGAGAAAATCGGTCAAAGTTTAAAAAGTTTGACTTTATATAAATCTATTTATTCAAGGAGAGAGAGTACCGATGGTGGGATTTCTGTCCCCTCCCCTCCTCCCCTGCCTCGCCTGCCGTTCCCTTATTATAGTAATAACTATATATATAATAACCCCAAAATAATGCAATTCTAGGTTTGAACCAAGTAATTCCTTTTTAAAGTTTGACTAAATTTCTAGGAAATTGTGTTAATATTTGTACCTTCAAATAGTTTTAATGATACTCACTCTGCATCATAAATGTTTGTATTTTCTAATATAACTTGGTCAAACTTAAAATTGTTTGATTCCTTTAAAAGCGAGAATCACATTTTTTTGGGAGGGAGGGAGCACTGTACCATTTCAAGGGACCTAGCATGTGAATGAAGATATAGAAGAACCGCTTTTGGTATGCTTGTTTTGCTTCCTACTCCATCCCACCTTTGTCGTCCTAGGACTTGTGCGCAACCCGTCATTGTGTGCCTGCCGGGTTATCTTCTCTTGTTCGTGTCGAAATTGTTTGCAGATTGCAGGAATACACCATCTGACACTTCGGACAATTTGTATTTCACAGTGCATGGCATGGAATATGGCTTTGGAGCTCATGAATACCCCACCAGCGGAGTCTTCCAAGTAGAACCCAAAAGCTGCCCTGGCTTTATCTTCAGACGCTCTGTGTGTGTGGGTACAACTCATATGTCCCGCTCCCAAGTCCACACTTCCATAGAGGACCTCGCCGAGGATTATCATGGGGACACTTATCATCTGATTGTCAAGAACTGCAATCATTTCACAGCTGATGTCTGCAAGCGTTTGACTGGGAAGCCAGTACCTGGATGGGTGAATCGACTCGCCAGATTAGGTCCCATATCCTTTCACAATCATCAATCTGTTGCTCCTTGATGATGCCGATTTGTTCTCAACTATTTCTGTCTTCATCCTGTTGGAATCGCAGGTTCCTTCTTCAATTGCGTATTGCCTGACAGCATCAAGGTTTCAGCCGTCAGAGATGTAAACGCACACCCAGATTTTTCTGGTACTCTACCTACACCCGGTTTGACTATTTGTACCTTCACATTCACATGGTTGAAATTTGACCTTACAGAATCCTGTACCATTTTAGCTTTCCCAAATAGACTAATCCTATGAAGTTATATAAGTGGCTGTATTTAACTAAAAGAAGATGAAAGCGAATTATCTTAAATTTATATGGTCTTTTGCATATCAATGAAGAGATTGAAACAACCTTGAATTGTTAAGAAATTAAATTACATAGAACTGTTAGGAAATTATTTGATATATGTCTCATCTTTTCTTGGAAATGGAAAGAATCTTCCAAGTTTCAGATTTATTAGCATTTGCATGAGTTCCTTTTCGCATCTTAAAGGTGTCAACAAAAGTCTCAATATGCTTCATCCATCTTCCCATTCTCAACATGAGTTCTCAATGCTCATTGCTTGGCTCCTCTGCATCACATGATGCCCTGAATTCCATCACTGCTCCTGAAAATTGGATGGGTCTTTGTTTGTTGGTACTGCTGCAGATGATGACTTGGGGTCCAATGCTTCGATCCTTGAGGGAAGTGATGACGATGACTTAGACCAACTTCTGAGAACTCCAAACAGCGACATTGTATCTTCAAGGGACAAGACATTAACTCCCGGCAGGGATAGCCTCTAACTGGCTGCTACTGTTCTCTGTTTCATCATAGCAAAAATAGAGGCAGATGCTTCGCCAGTGCTGATGATCACATCTCATGGTGGTATGGATGGGTAGGTTTAGCCTGATCATATCATCATCCGCTGTTAAAACTTGGTGGCACGCTAGTTCGGGGTGATGAAGGATTGATTGATCGATTGATATTGCTGTTATCAGTTGTTGTAGAGATAGCAGCGTATAGTGTTAATGTGATGATACTTTGTTGTGATATATTATGTGGCAAAGGCCAAGTTAACCAGCATGTCATGGTTGTGTGTGTGGTGAATATGTTGTAGTTAAGTTTGTAGTGTGGGGCATACTGTCTGAGTAGAGGATTTGGCTAGTCATCTCAAGTGACTTTTCTTTTGATTTTGACTCCCCTTTTGTAACGGTGATGGTGTGTGTTCTTCTGTACAAAAAGAGTTTGAAATGGTTTTCCAGATGGAGTATTTGTGAGAATTGAGTCAGAATTACCTCTCGCCGTTTGAAATGATTAATTTGTATATCAATCTAGCATAGGTTGGTTGGCTGGCTCGATCTTACCTTAGGTAGCAGTATGGTTTTAGAAACTGACGGAGTATTTTATTTTATTTTATCTAAAAAAGATCACGGTCTTAGACTCTTAAGCACAGCTTGATGATGGGTTACTGACATGTGGGCCCACCTACCTTCCCTCGTCTCTTTCTCCCTCCCTCGTCGCCTTCCCTCTGGGCCTCGGCGGCGTTCGAGGAGCGTTCTGTTGCTTCTGGTTCGTGCTCGTCAAGGAAAGAGGGGAAGTCCTTGCCAGCGGGCAGCCTTGCCAATTGCTTGCCAGAATCGGACTCGGTCGCCGGAATCCGACCTCGTCTCGCTTCTCTCCCCGTGAAGAATCGTGATGCGGAGAACAGCTGCCGCCGCCCTCGTCTTCATTCCCCTCCTCGCTGCGGCGGTGCAGACCTCCTCCCTGCCCTTCATCGTCCTGCACGGTAGAATTCTCCTCTCCTCTCCTGTGCAGCAACAAACTGGGTATTTGTCGGGTTCATAAACCCGAGGTCCCCAATAGACCCGCTTTCCTACAAAAGCACGGTCCAGCAGATGGCGTAGCGACAACGCGCGCCTTCCGGACCAGCCCAGTTACCTAACGACCGGCCAGGAGAACGACCCGGTCTCCGACCGGAAGGCCTGGCCAAGGAGGGGACATAGTCCGACTCCAACCCCCTTTTCCGACCGAGGATACGCCGGACCTCCGCTCCTGATTCTTACCCGACCGACGCGGTCGGAGCTGACTGAGAACGACCGACCGGGGATGCCCGCTCGGTGAGGACCCAAGGATCAAGAGGAGGAGATAAGGTAAGGCCCTCAGGTCAACCGCAATATCAAGGACCACACCCTGCCATACCCTGCACACCTACAGGACAGTGCCACCAGGCTATGCCAGATGGGTACTATGCAACCTTCCAGGCGTGTCAGAACCAAAACAGTATTGTGGGCGTCGATATTTGCCTTACAGTATTGTAGGTGCCGACATTTACCATACCAGGTGAACATGGTAAAACCTGCCAGACACGTCTGGGCATAAACAGTATTGTGGGCGCCGACAAACATCTCATACCCGATGGTGTGAGCAACAAGATTAGGTGGCACACATACAAACTCTCTCTCTAACTTGTAAGGCTATCCCCTTCACCTATAAAAGGAGATGCGCTCTCTCCCAACAAACGATGGTCGTTCAGACTCTCTCTCTGGCTGGCTCTAGACAAACTAAGCATTCGAACGGCTCCATAGCTCTAGAACTCTAAAGCTACACAGAGCATACGCTCCAATACTTAGCGCACGTTAGAGCTCCCGTCACTCTCGGCCCTTCGGTTCAGAGTCCGGCCGGACCTTTAACACCCCCTTCTTATTCCCACTCATTTGTAACCCCACAGCAAATTTCGAGCACCTGGGCTCAGGAATAAAGTCACCGACCGACCAAAACTGAACGTAGGGCACGTTGCCTGAACCAGTATAAATTATGTGTCATTGAGTGCTAGGCCACATCCGATCACAACGCACGGCAAAACTACAAATATTTACTTGTTGGTCACTTTTCGCATCGACAGTTGGCGCCGTCCATGGGGAAGACGCTGTGCGTTCACGCTTCTGGTCATCGGATGGCCCATCTTTCCACCATCTTTGACATGGCGGGCTCAAGCGATATGATCCGCTTTGGCTCGCTGGAGTTTTCCACGCTCTCACCTGTTGGGATGTGGGTTCCTCCCGTCTTTGAGCCACTCCAGACCTTCCTCTTCTGAAGTCTCGACTTTGTCGCCGACCAACTCGGCGTACTCTGCCTCCCCGAGGAGGCACCTGTCCCGGCGCCCACTGGAGGAGGAGCACCTTCCGCCGGCCCCGGGCCGCTCGACGACCTCAACAACGAGACACCTGCGCTTCGCTTCGAGCCCACACTGGGCTCAAACCCTACTGTGCGTAACACACATATTGTTCTTTACTTGCTATTTAATACCTTTCGCCGACTCTCTAGAGGGACCCTGTTGTCCCCACCACAACCGCCATGCGACCGGTTCCCCTACAGCCTCACGTCCCCCGCGGACGCATACAAGCGGGGGCTCCAAAGGATGCTAACGCCGCTCCCTCTCACATCCGAATTCGTGGGGATGGTGGGCTACGCTCCCGCCTCTTTCCATGACCTCGTGGATGACGAGGTTGAAAGCGACGGCTCCAGCATCGGCGATGTCGTGGCACGTAGCCACCCTCTGTCCCGGGAGTGCGCTATGGCGGATGCTCTGGGACAGCCGTTGGTGGTAGTGGAGTCTCTATAGACACACACCCCTCCGGACCCTCGTGCAGAGGCCCTCACACGTGCGTAGGAGCACGGTGAGGAGTTACGACAAACTCGGCGAGCGGCACCCGGGGTCACGCCCATCAGGTCCAGCGCAACATCCTAGGCAGGGGGAACGACCCCCCTCAGTTCGCTTGAGCTGGCCAGAACATCGTTGCTGCGGCGATGCTTCTGCGTAGCCTCCCCGAGCCGGCCGACCCCTAGGAGCAAGCAACCCACCGAAACCTCCGGGCGTTGGTGGAGACCACCGCCGTTCAACAGGCGTTGAGCTTCGTGTCGTGACATCAGCTCATGGCCTCTTGCCCTACCAGGGGACAGGAGCCGCACCAGTCAACTCGCTCCATCCACTTGCCACTACAGTGCCGGGAGTGGGGCAGGATGCCGTGGCTGCACCGCAGCCCAACCCAGCGCCCGCTCCACACCGACCACCTGTGCGCGAACGTCTCAGGCCAAACCGTTATGCTTGCAGCGTCATCGACAATCAACGCCATGCCCGGCATGATGATGACGTTTATTGAGTGGCGGTGAGAGCAGGCGGTGCGGATCTTGGCCTGACCATCGAGGAGTGCGTGTACACGCACCCCAGGCATGGTCGCCGACCAGACGACTGGAGTCCCAGCCCGGACGGTCCGGGACCACGGGCCTTTGGTCGTCGCATCCAGATAGCGTCGTTTCTATAGCGCTTCCGACCACCCCCAACATCGCCAGATACACCGGGGAGACCAACCCTAGTATATGGCTCGAAGACTTCCGGCTCACCTACCGAGCCAGAGGAGTGAATGATGACCACTTCATCATTCAATATCTCCCCATCTGTGTGAGGGAGCATGTTCGAGCATGGCTCGAATTCCTCCCGCCCGACAGCATCCGTGACTAGGCGGATCTCAAGAGGGTCTTCGTTGGAAATTTCTAGGGGACATATGTCCATCCTGGGAATTCCTGGGACCTCAAGAGCTGCCAGCAGAAGCCCAATGAGTCCCTACATGATTACATCCATAGGTTCTCAAAGCGGTGCAACTCCCTTCCTGATGTCGTTGACGCTGACATCATTAGCGCGTTCCTCTCTGGAACAACTTGTGAGTCCTTGATCCACAAGCTTGGCTATCTGAAGCCCCGTACCACCCGTGACCTGCTCGACGTCACCATTGTCGACGAAATATGGTTGGCAGTCTACCCAGGGGCATGCCCAAGGTAGTAGATTATCGGCAGACAGATGCGCAAGCTACAAACAAGATGGTGACGCAAGACAGACACGAGGTTTTATCCAGGTTCGGTCGCTGGGATGGCGTAATACCTACGTCCTGCGTCTGATTGTATTGCTATATGTTAATGAGAGATGTTTTTGAGAGGGGTCCCCTGCCCGCCTTATATAGTCTGGGGGGCAGGGTTACAGATCTAAAAACTAATCCTAACCAGTTACAATTGCCATAGGTGGCCGGATAAGGATTCCTATTCTAATCGACCAGGATCTTGCTTGATCTCCAAATCTGCCTTGATTCCTTGCGCGGGACTCCGAATAGATTGACCGAGCCACGCGTAGTCTTCTAGTGGGCCAAACCCCCTGGTCCGGGCCGGCCCAAGCCTAGCCGTAAGGGTATAGGGGTTAATACCCCCACAGCTAGTCCCCGAGCACCATGTATTATGCTGCGACACGCCACTCGATATCCTTCGGCTGATGCGATCCGTCTTCATGTCACCTCCAACTGGTTGAAACGTTGACCAAGCGAATGTGCCAGTATTCTGGTCAGAACAGAGAGCAGTAGACCACGATTATAGCCGAAGATTCTGGTTGTCCAAAGAATGCATGATGCTCTAAAGAAAAAAGAAAAAGATTTCTTTCCTTATCAAGTGTGCCCACTTGTATTTCCGAAAAGAAATGTAAGTGACCCTTGGACAATAGTAATTCTGGCCAACAAACAGAACATAGGGGTCGATAAAATAAGCACATTCACCGCAAGGTGAAGTGTGCCCACTTAGTCCTCGAGCCTGGTAGTAGGTGATGCAGGCACGTGGTGCCAGGGTCTAAAAAGAATTCCCACTGAAGTTGAGAATCCAATCGTCGTACAAGCAATACGAGATGCACCGGCAGGTGCATCGTACCGATGTAGTCCCCGAGTTTGCTAGAAGGCGAGGTAGCAGCCTTGTAGCAAGGTCTAAATAA